CCAGCCCTTCCCCCTCCCCCGCTCTGCCCCGCGTCAGCCCCAGCCCCAAATCTGGAGTTTCCAGCCCCAAAACCTCACCCCCCTTCCATCCCACCTCTCCTTTTCCCTCTCCAGCCCCAAATTCGGCATTTCCAGCCCCAAATCATCACATATTTCCATCCCACCTCTCCCTTTCCCCCTCCAATCCCAAATCTGGCGTTTCCAGCCCCAAAACCACAACCGCTTTCATCCCACCTCTCCTTTCCCCCCCTCCAACCCCAAATCTGATGTTTCCATCCCCAAATCCTCACCCCCTTCCATCCCACCTCTCCTTTTCCCTCCCCAACCCCAAATCCGGTGTTTCCAGCCCCAAAATCCAGCCATCATTTCATCCCAGCTCTCCTTTGCCTCCTCCAACCCCAAATCCAGCCTTTCCTGCCCCAAATCCTCGCCTCCTTTCACCCCACCTCTCCTTTTTTATCTTCAACCCCAAATCTGGAGTTTCCAGCCCCAAATTCACCCACCTTTTCCTTGCACCTCTCCCTTTGCCCCTCCAACCCCAAATTTGCCATTTCCAACGCCAAATCCTTGCCCCCTGTCATTTCACCTCTCCCTTTGCCTCCTCTAATCCTAAATTTGGTGTTTCCAGCCCCAAATCCTCACCCCCTTTCATCCCACTTCTCCTTTTCCTCCTCCAGTCTCAAATCTGGCCTTTCCAGCCCCAAAATCACCCACCTTTCCATCCCACCCCTCATTTGGTCTCTCCAGTCCCAAATTTGGTGTTTCCAGCCCCAAATCCTCACCCGCTTTCATCCCACCTCTCCTTTCCCCCTCCAATTCCAAATTCGGACTTTCCAGCCCCAAACCCACCCACATCTTCATCCCACCTCTCCCTTTGCCCCTCCAACCCCAAATCCGATGTTTCCAGCCCCAAATCCACTCCCCCTTCCATCCCACCTCACATATTCCCTTCTCAACCCCAAATCTGGTGTTTCCAGCCCCAAAATCCAGCCATCGTTTCATCCCACCTCTCCTTTTCCTCCTCCAGTCCCAAATCTGGCCTTTCCAGCCCCAAATCTGTGCCCCCTTCCATCCCACCTCTCATTTGGTCGCTCCAATCCGAAATTTGGTGTTTCCAGCCCCAAATCCTCAACCGTTTTCATCCCACCTCTCCTTTCCCCCTCCAATCCCAAATTTGGAGTTTCCATCCCCAAATCCACCCACATCTTCATCCCACCTCTCCTTTTCCATCTCCAACCCCAAATCTGGTGTTTCCAGCCCCAAATCCTCACCCCCTTTCATCCCACCTCTCATTTTCCCTCTCCAACCCCAAATCCGGCCTTTCCGGCCCCAAATCCCCTTCAGCATGACCAGGAGCGAGGGCTCAACCCCTACACAAGCCCCTGGAGAATCCCCACTCTTCCACCCTCCCGTGACCACATGCCCAGGGGCAGAAAGAACTCGTTGCAGCGAGAGGAAACCAAAAAACCAGGGGGGGATTCTGCCCCGTCGGCCACCGCTGCGCTGCCCGGCAGTGGATTCTCCGCTGTCTCCTACGGGGTTGGGCAGCTGCTCATGGAGCTCCGGGTTTTATCTCCCAGGTGCGGATCCACCAGCCCCGCACGGGGCCAAGCTCTGCCCGGGAGCGCGATGCGGAGCTGGGACCACCTGCGTCACGTCGGCGGCCGGGCCCAAGTGCGTCTCCTTGCCCTCATGCAAGAAGCACCCGTGCGAGGAGGGGACGCGGTGCGCGATGCGGAGCTGGGACCACCTGCGTCACGTCGGCGGCCGGGCCCAAGTGCGTCTCCTTGCCCTCATGCAAGAAGCACCCGTGCGAGGAGGGGACGCGGTGCGAGATGGTGGACGGGTGGCCCAAGTGTGTCCCGGCGCCGTCATGCAAGAACTTCCAGTGTGAAGAAGGAACCCAGTGCAAGATGGTTGATCGGTGGCCAAAATGTGTCCCGAAGCCTTCATGTAAGAACTTTGACTGCAAGGAGGGGACCCAGTGCCAGATGGTGGATGGGTGGCCCAAGTGTGTCCCGTTGCCATCATGCAAGAACGTCCGTTGTGGAGCTGGAACCCACTGCAAGATGGTGGAGGGGTGGCCCAAGTGTGTCCCACTGCCTTCGTGCAAGAACTTCCACTGTGAGGCAGGAACCCAGTGCCAGATGGTGGACGGGTGGCCCAGATGTGTCCCAACGCCGTCATGCAAGAACATCCGGTGTGGAGCTGGAACCCACTGCAAGATGGTTGATGGGT